CCCCAAAACCCCAAAACCCCAAAACCCCAAAACCCCTTGAGGAAAATTCTTGGTTGAATCATGAGATTTATAAGCCCCATTGTTGCTCTTGCTCGAGCATGCCGAAGAGATCACCCCACATTTCCATTGGGTCAAACATCATTAATTCTTGCGGAGGTTGATCACTTATTTGGATGCTTGTCTAGACAGATTAGATATACTCTTACCTTCAAATCTCCTTTTTCATTGCCTTCTGCATTAACTGAGACAAAATCTCCGAATTCAGGATTAGATCCATTCTCAGATTTTGCATCAGGATGGATGGTGAATTCGAGATCTAACTCCATGTTGTAAAGTGGCTCTTGCTTGCTATCACTCTGAAGTGCACAGTTCAAGGTGAAAGTTCCAACAATACTATCTTGATCGCTTGATTTGAGCAATGGATCAACATTCTTAGGAGTGCAGTTGAATCTTACTTTCCCTCCAAAGTAGTTTTCAACTTTATTGTTAATACCAGAGTCTTTCTTAAGAAGATTCCTGATCATATCCTTGCTCAAAACTGGTTGATCAGAAGAAGATTTCAAGAAGAATTTAGTATAGCTTTCTGGAGTCACAGAATATTCCATCACTGGTAGATTTGTATGACTGTCAATGTGGCCAGCTTCGCTGAGTAGACCCTTCCTTAGACCTGATGACTTTCCTATGGACCTACTGCTGAAGAGCTTATTACCTTTCCTATTCAGTCTCTCTTTAATCGATAAGGTGTTGGAAGGTTTCGAAAGAACATAAGTTCCAAAATCTTGGATTCTGTTTGGTTTTCCAACTTTATAGGCTAGGTCTGTATCCAAAGTATTTACTTTGTCATCGATTTCCAAGCTCTTGTAGTATTGATCGATTACCTCCTGAGTCCTTCTCTTCATTGCATGATGAATTGGGCCGTGATTCTTAGCAGCATTCCAGAACTTGATGCTCTTGGCCCAGTCTGGGGCAAGACTGCTCTTAACTTCATCAGTTACTAATCCAATCAGGTAATTTTTAATTTCTTCAACGTTTCCTTCTGTTGTCAATTTGATATCAGAATGCGTGTGTTCGAGGTCGAGTTTGATATCAGCGCCAACTTTTCTATCACCTAGACCTTCTCCATTTTGGTTTCTGAGCTTGAGGTCTACTCCAAGGTCTGTGATGTCGATATCGATATGGCCTGTGGCAGGTCTCTTTTTAATCGTGACTTCAAAATCAGCGCCAATTTTGGCACCCATTCCACCGATCTTAAAGAAGAGGGTATCTGAGAGAACATCCACATTGACTTTATCGAAATTCTGTGGTGGGATCACCTGCACGTTGATGTTAGTTAACCTCCCTCCTTCAAATGGGAACTCCTTGAAACTAGTCTTAGAAAGCATATTGAAGAAGTAAGGAAGAGCGTTATCTCTCAGTGCATTGCTTTCTCCGTTGGCTGAGTTTCCTCCAGTGATTAAATTCAACCCACTCTGTAAAAAGTCAGCCCTTGCTCTCTGTAGGAGCACACATAGTGTAAAACAAGCGATTAGGATTGGTATCAAGCCCGAACGATTCTTAGCCATTTTATTAATATAAAATATACAAATTATTTGGGGTTTTGGGGTTTTGGGGTTTTGGGGTTTTGGGGTTTTGGGG